ATACCCCCCCTCAAGTTGGAGGTGAAGATGTCACACCCAACTTGCTCATCACTGCTGTATGCTTGACTCCAGTAAGTGCTTTAGTTAAAACATCAGCCAGTTGATTATCAGTCCCAACATGATTGAAGGGAAACCAACCCTTCTTGCAATTTGTCTCTCACAAAGTGTCACAAAGTGACAGTCTACTTCAATATGTTTGGTCCGCTCGTGAAAGATAGGATTACGAGCTATGTGTAGAGCTGATTGGCTGTCATAGAACATTGTGACAGGGGAAGGAAAAGGAACAGTAAGCTCAGTAAACAGTCTACACAGCCACACTAGTTCTCCAACTACATTTCTCAGGGCTCTATACTCTACTTCAGCAGAAGAAAGAGAGATGGTAGCTTGCTTCTTGAACTTCCAACTAATGGGACTGTCACTAAGTAATACTAGATATCCACTAATAGATTTCCTAGAATATGGGCAGGCAGCCCAATCAGAGTCATAATACCCTCTAACTGTGTAATCTGGATTTGCAGACAAGGAGATTGCAAGAGTAGGATCAGCTTTCAGATATCTAAGTAAGTGATAGGCAGCCTTGAGGTGAGGTTCTCTGGGATCTTGCATGAACTGAGGTGTTGGACACTATCAATGTCCGGCCTTGTATTTGTTAGGAAGTTCAGCTTTCCTATCAAGGTTCTATAGACAGAAGGATCTGCTAAGGATGTACCTTCCTTGGCTTGATGTTTGACTGTAGGATCCAATGGTGAGCTGAAGGCACTAACATGAAGGCATTCATACTCCTTCAGTAGGTCAAGAGCAAATTTTCTCTAAGAGATTATCACACCATCTTCCTTGTAGAGAACCTCTAAACCCAGGAAATAATGCAGTCGACCCAAGTCCTTGATCTTGAACTAAGCATGTATAAAAGCCTTTAAACAGTTGATTTCTTCTGGATTATTCCCTGTGACAATTACATCATCTACATAGACAGAAACATATATAGTAGAGGAGTCAGATTTCTTGTAAAACAAAGAGTAATCATTGAGGAAATATACATAGCCCTTGGAACTCAATGCCTCAGCCAACTTGTTATACCACTGTCGACTAGCTTGTTTCAAGCCATACAATGATTTGTGCAGCTTACATACATACTAGGCCAGGTGTCAACCAACAGACCAGGAGGCAGGTCCATATACACTTTGTTAGCTTGTATGAGTCCACCAAAAAGTAGAGTACCTGGTCATCTACAAGATTCTGCTGAGAATGCTAATAAAACAGTACGTAAATACGACAGAGGATTTTTACTTAGAAAAATCCCACACAAGGAGATCAAAAAACCACAACCTACACCTGTAGGCTTTCAACTCCACTAACTTGTAAAAACCTATTACAAGCCAATTTGCAATGTCTCCATTACAAAGAATTTATTCAACTAACTTGTGGTACTCTTACCACAAGCCACTTTGTGACTTCCTAGTTACAAATACTTTTACTAACTTGTGATGCTCTCACCACAAGCCACTTTGTAACTCTACAGTTACAAAGACTTTGCTTATGACTAAACCTAGTCACAACATAAACTCAAGGAGTTTACGGATTTACAAGAGGATTCCTAATCAAACGCTTCTAGCTAAGCAGTTTAGGAGATACAATAAGTACAATCACAAAGTTACAACTCAACTAGGACAACAACAAGCTATCTTTTAGGAATTGGTCCGTAGTTGCGTTCAACTTTGTTCTTCAAGCTTGTGAGGATTGATTTCTCTGTTTTTGCAAGAAGCTTGAATGAGAAACTGAATCCTTCAAGTGATGTTTTGTATAAACTCATTGTAGGTACATCTTGATCATATCGCTTGAAATGATGCGGCACTTTAGTTGGTCAGAGAATGAGTGGGCGCTGGAGACAGTGCAGTGCGGTAGAAATAGTGCAGTCAATCACTTTATTTCTAGCTGTGACCAATTGACTTGTATTGTGATGAGTAAACCACAAGGGTATCAGATCCTTGTTTGGGTTCCTAGCTCCTGAAGCTGTAGCAGTTCACCTTTAGCTGGAATTCGTTAAGCTTAACTGAAGCTTGCAGTATAGTCCGAGTAGATCAGGTTCCCTATCTGGTTCTTAACAGTAAGTTTGTTAGATCATCAGAACATAAGGCAAGAACATTTAAAAACTATCAATTTCTCCCTTTTTGATGATGACAAACTTAACATTTATAGAGTAGATTTAGAGTAGTAAGGACCAGACTATCGTAACACATATGTTCCCCCTGAGTTAATGGCCATATTTCCCCCCTTTTGGCATCATTAAAAAACAGACAGAATAGCAGCCCAAGAAGTCCATCTAAGTTAACTCATGCCACGTATGTGCACACAATCATGAAAGAAAATAGAAACACAGAATGAGAGTACTGACGTAATAAAACAAGGATTGATATTAATAAAACTTTAATATGCCTTTGCTTTGAAAAAGCGAAAGGCAATATTGGACTTGTTAAAACGGGAGTAGTAGTGTTTCATCCCAACCACAAAAAAAGAAAACAAAAACATCCGCCAAAACATCAAAGAAAACTTAACAAACATTTCCAGAAACTGGTCACTGAAGAGGTACTTAGGGGACACTAGGAGTAAAGGGCTTGGAAGCTGCAACAAGCGTTTGGAGAACGAGGTCTATTCGGGCATTTCCCGACTTTTGCTCATTGAGCAGTTCTGCTTTCAGGTTCTCTACTTGTGCCCTGAGATCAGCATTTTCCTTATCAAACGAGCCACTTCATCACTTGACACTGGAACTGCTTGGGCTTGCTGACCTTCCAGGATAGCATTCCTGGCCTTCAACCGACGAATCTCCTCAGCTGCACTGTTCTGAGCATTAATAAGCTGTGAGATGGTTGATGTACTTCCTACCCCCCCTCCCATTCTTTTCTATGCACTCACACTCTTCCAAAGTTGTCTGTGAGAAAGTCTGCTTCCTAGTCCCCACCTTGCCTGTCCCCAGTGGGACTTCAAAGAATTTGAACACTTGAGTAAGCAGGAACCCATAGGGGAGGCCATGATTACCATCTTTGAAGGTGGCAACCTTTTACATGTGTTCAATCATAATAGCAGGCAAACTCACAGGAGTAAAACTGTCCAGTTGCTCCATCAAGAATAGGTCAAACTTAGAAGTCACTAACCTCCTCTCAGCTCGAGGCAATAGAACTTTGTTAACCAATTTGAACAACAGCTGATAGACAGGGAGTAGCGCTTTCTTATGGATCTGGTCCCCCTTCTGGTTTGCATTGGTTTTACCTCGGCATTTGTAAAGTTAAACTGACACACATCTTTTACACTGGGCACACCAACTGTAGGAACTTTAAGAATCTCTCCAAGCAACTTTACATCAAACACGATGTCCACCCCATTGACCAAGGCACAAATATGGTCAGTCTCAATTGGAAAGAGATTAGAAAAGAAGCTTTGTACCTCATACTCATATACCTTAGGTGCATCAACTTGAAATAGATGCGCTCAACATTGAAAGTTGACCATTTCCAGAATTTGGTGCATTCCAGCCATCTCAGAGATTGTTGGGTCAAATGTACGACCCATCAGAACTTTTTGATGCCTCGGGCGTTCAGAGCCAAGGCTGACTTCACTTCTCATTCTCTTCACAGAACCATGTTCTTCAAAAGATTTAGACTTGTGTTTGCCAGACTTCTCTCCAATAAATTTTCCTTTTCCCTAGGATTTGACTAACACATCCTCATGAGACATCGAAAACTCGCTCACCACCTCCTTCATCTTGGACCTAGATGTTGACCCCTTCTCTATTGAAGTAGGATTCATCTTTTTCGAAGACCATCTAACAAGTGAACCAGGTTCATCTAGGGTTTCCTCTTCCACCTCGACTACAGGTATCGCCTCATCACTTACAGGTACACCGTCTTTCACCAACTTTCTCCTTTTCTTCTTACTACTCTTCTTGCTCTTTTGAAGGGCAGAATTGTAGGCCACCTTAACTTGAAGCCTGGTAGTAGGTCATTTGGTTTCAGACTCAGGGGTGGACACAACCCTCCACTTACTAATGAATGCATCAAGAGCCACATTATCTAGGTCTTATTCATCACTGGATCTCATTTCAGGTGCTTAAAAGTTCAAGGGCACAACATCGAATGCAGGAATAGCACTGTCCTGGGAACGAGAGCCCTGACTTGGATCCTCCGGAGAGGGATCAAGTTCCTCATGTGATGCCCCAGTAGTATCTGCTAGTGCATCCCCTTCAACAGTTACAATGGCCCCTTCTTCCCCCACACTTTGTGCCTCATTTTTCTAAGAGGTGATCTCATGCAGTACACTATCAGCAGATACCACAAACACGGTTACAACATTTTTCTCTTCCTCAAATGGTGCTACCACGACCACGGAATTAGTAGCAACGATGGCAGAACTCTTTGTGACCTCAGGGTTTTGACCTTGTTCTCCACTTGGTCTTTGACTGGTGGGAGCCTCAGACGATGGGGAGAACGGAGCAGCAGTTTTAAGGGTTTCTGAAGTAGGAAGAGACTGGGAAACTAGGTGAGGGGTGACTGTAGCGGCAGGAGTGATAGTGGGTGAGAAAGGCTTAGTGGGAGCGGAAGGCTCCATAGATTGATCAGTAGTAGTTACGACTGAGGCAGGGAGATCGAAAGTTTTCTCAGCCATTGAAAGAAGTGGTATAATGATGCTTTTGGGAAACTCTAATGTAAGACTTATGGTTAGGAAGAGCAGGAAAGAGGGTTTTTAAGAGGAGAGGATAATTATGAATAGAGAGGAATAGGCACCGGTTCTGAAACGGCGGTTGGGCGTGGAGAATTGCAATGTTTCAGAGGGAGATGGAACAATGAAATGAAGAGATGTGACAGCAGGATCTGAAAAGTTGATGATATGGAAGTTGTGTTTTGTACCCTTTTTAAAACGTGTATTAAAGGATGCACAAAACTACTAACCTTTGGTACAAGAACCAGGTTCTTGACCTTTTTTTTAAAGAATCAATCCTCTTTTATCATTCATGCACTGCATCTACAGCTTCTATATTCATCATGCGTGTTCACCTGCAACGATATTGAAGTGAGTTAGACATGGCCAGAAAACACTTTTAGCCAGTTATTTCTTGAAGGTGAAAGCCAGATAAAGAGGAACCAGGTTCTCAATTAGGCTTTAAAAGCCCCAGCTTCACTCTGTTTCTTTCAAACTGTTCCCTACTTAGCGCCTTGGTGAAAATGTCTGCAATTTGATCTTCTATACTGCAGAACTTCATACATATCAGCCCTTTTTCCACATTGTCCCTCAGAAAATGATGCCTCACATCAATATGTTTTGTCCTTTTGTGTTGAACTGGATTCTTGGCCATGTTGAGTGCACTGGTCTTACACATAGAAGGGGCACACTCTCAGTGAGTACCCCAAAGTCCTCCAGTTGTTGCTTAATCCATAAAAGCTGAGTACAGCAGGATGTTGCAGCTACATATTCAGTTTCAGCTGTTGAAAGAGCCACTGAATTTTGCTTCCTTGTTCTCCAAGAGATAAGACATGGACCTAAGAAGTGAGTCATTCCCGAAGTGTTTTTCCTGTCCACAAGATAACCTGCATAATCTGCATCAGCATACCTAATCCGATTAAAACTATCATCTGACGGATAATACAACACCAGGTCCTGTGTTCCTTTGAGATATCTTAGTATTCTTTTGGCAACCTTCAAGTGAGATTCCTTGGGATTTGATTGAAACCTTGCACACAGCCCCACACTAAAAACAATATCACGTCTGCTGGCAGTGAGATAGAGGAGAGACCCAATAATGCCTCTATACATGGTTTGATTCATAGGAGATCCAGTTTCACCCATGTCCAGTCGAGTGGCAGTAGCAATGGGAGTATCTATCACCTTTGATGCTTCCATGTCAAACCTCTTCAAGAGCTCCCTGATGTATTTTTGCTGACAAATGGATATACCCTTTGGGGACTGTTTTACTTGAAGACCCAAAAAGAAGTTCAGTTCCCCCATCATGCTCATTTCAAATTCACTTCCCATGAGTTTTGCAAATTTTTCACATAGAAAATCAGTTGTTGCTCAAAAAATGATATCATCAACATAGACCTGAACAATGAGCAGGTTCCTTCCTCGTTTCTTTAAGAAAAGAGTGTTGTCAATTTTCCTATTTTAAAACCATTTTCCAAGAGGAACTTTGACAACCTTTCATACCAAGATCGAGGATCCTTCTTTAGCCCGTACAGAGCTTTGTCCAGTTTGAACACATATTTAGGGTGCTCATGACATTCAAACCCTGGGGGTTGCTTCACATAGACTTCTTCCTTAAGGAGTCCATTCAAAAATGCACTCTTGACATCCATTTGGAACAAGGTGAATTCCATATGAGATGCAAAAGCGATTAGAATTCTAATAGCTTCCATGCGAGCCACTGGAGCAAACGTTTCATCGTAGTCAATCCCTTCCTCCTGATTATATCCTTGGACCACTAGCCTGACCTTGTTCCTTTTGGTAATTCCATGTTCATCGAGCTTGTTTCTGAATACCCACCTGGTTCCTATAATAGTTCGATTTGGGGGTCTAGGTACCAGGTGCCACACATTGTTTCTCTCAAACTGATGTAGCTCGCCTTGCATGGCTGTAATCAAATATGCATCTTTCAAGGCTTTTTTGATATTTTTGGGTTCTATCTGGGAGAGAAAGGCTGAGAAGGCAAGTGAATTTCTGGCTTTTGACCTGGTTTGTACTCCGGAATCTAGAGGAGTAATAATGTTGTCTATTGGATGACAGCTTTGGTGTCTCCAGTTAGACGCCTGAGGTTCATTCTGAGATGAAGAGGGTATGTTTGGCTGATTTTCCTCTGTCCTTCTCTCAGTTGCTAGTGGAGTTCCTTAAACTGTAGCAACCACTCTTTTTTCAGCTTCAGTGGTTGTAATTGAGGTGCTTGGTTCTATTGAAGATGAGCCAGCGTTGTCTTCATTTAGCTCCTTTACTTGACTCATCATATTTACCTTTCTGTTTGTCATGTTAATGACTTCACCAGGGACTAGTAAGGGTTCTACATCTTGATCTTCCTCAACTCTTTTCTCACATGATGGATACGATTCATCAAAAATAATATGGACACTTTCCTCAACACATTGAGTCTGCTTACTATATATCTTGTAAGCCTTGCTTTGAGAGAGTAGCCCAGAAATATTCCTTCATCACTCTTGCATCAAATTTACCAAGCTGATCCTTTCCATTGTTGAGAACATAGCATTTGCACCCAAATGTTCTTAGGTGAGTCAGCTTGGATTTCCTTCCATTCAACAATTCATACGGGGTTTTGTTCAGAAGTGATCTAATCATGCACCTGTTCACCAAGTAGCAGGCAGTATTGACAGCTTCAGCCCAGAAGTTCTTTGCAATTCCACTGTCGATCAGCATTGTTCTTGCCATTTCTTCTAGAGTTTTGTTCTTCCTTTCTACTACTCCATTTTGCTTGGGAGTTCTGGGAGCTGAGAAGTTGTGAGTGATGCTATTTTCATTGCAGAATTCATCAAATTTGACATTGTCAAATATTGTCTCATGATCTGATCTAATGCATGCGACTCTAGACTTCATCTTCACCTGGATTTTCTTCACAAAGGCCACAAACACCTCAATAGTTTCATCTTTGGGTCTGAGAAACAGAGTCCATGTGAATCTGGAGTAGTCATCTACTATCACAAAAATGTATATTTTTCCTCCTCTACTTTTCACTCTCATAGGTCCACACAGATCCATATGCAGAAGCTCTAGTGGCTTTGAGGTGCTCACATCTCTTTTAGACTTAAAAGAGAACTTCACATGTTTTCCTCTAGCACATGCATCACAGACTTTTTGCATCTTGAATTGTGACATAGGCGGACCATGGACCAAGTCCTTCTGAATTAGTTTGTTCAGAAGAGAAAAACTTGCATGGCCCAGTCTTCTGTGCCATAGTTCAGCATCATCATCAACAACTTTCAGACAACTCAGATCACCACTCTATAAGGACTCGAAATCAGCGACATAGATGTTCTTGTGTCTTTTGGCCACCAGTACTATTTCACCTGTCACAAGATCAGTGAATGTACATATTTTGGATAAGAATTCCACCTTGTGTCCTTTATCACAGATTTGAGAAACACTCAAGAGACTGTACTTAAGGCCATTGACATAGTACACATTTTCAATAGAATGAGTGAGTGACTTCCGGACTTCTCCAACTCCAAGAATGTACCCCTTTTTACCATTGCCAAAGGATACACTCCCTCCTTGCAGGGCTTTTAGTGAAAGAAAGTCTGTGGTGTTCCCAACCATGTGCTTTGAACACCCACTATCCATGAACCATTGTTGACCGGTTCCTTTCACTATTCCCTGCACAAGAGATTAAGAGTTAGTTTTAGGAACCCAAGCAAGTTTGGGTCCCTTGTAGTAGGCAAGAGGATGAATAAGAGTTCTCTTAGTCCATGCAGGTAATGTGCATTTTTTGTGAGTGGAATTTGGTCCCTCTTTTGTAGTCACCTTTTCAGCAAACACTTTATTTTTCTGAACCGATTGATTCTTGGCCTGAACATATTCCTTGAACCGCCCAGTGTTACCACATTGGGTACAAGGCCAGTTATCAGAGACAGTGACGTACTTACTGTGAGGGTTGTGAGGAGTTTTCTCCCTTTGGAACCCTATTCCCTGCTTGTTTTCACAATCATTAATATGCAAGGCAGTGGTAGCTTCAAGGACCAGGTCCAATTTAGGGACTTTTCAAGATTATTCTTTACTCTTTCTAAATTAGTGTGGAGTTGCTCGTTTTTCTCAATTTCAGCACACATCCTAGATCTCATAGATTTCACCTCATTTTCAAGCCTAATGTGTTCCTCACTGGCTATCTCCTTTCCCTTTCCAGAATTTTCAGGTTTTGACTTAGTCCATGGTTTCACTATTGTTTCCCTTAGGTCTGTAATTTCTGCCAACAGATCATTCTTTTCTTTTCTGAGGATTTCAATGGTTTTCTTATGGTCAGTAACTACAGCCACTAAGTCGTCTCTAGTTTGATCAAATTCTCCTAATTCTAAGGTCAAAGAATCCCTATCCTCCACAAGACTATGAAAAGCAGAGATTAATACATCAGCTAAAGACATGATTTTTTTGGAGAACAGGATTTCAGATTTCTCTGAACATCCCTGAAATTTACCTCTTTGTTGCCATTGTCTTCATCATCATCTTATTGAGCCATCAAAGCAAAAGTTGAGTCATATCCAGTCTCCTCGCCTTCAGCTTCCATCATGGAACTATCACCAGTATCAGGTTCATCTTCAGACTCACTAGAGGAATCCCCCCATGCTGCAAGAGCCTATGTGATCATATTATCAGCGGATCTTTTTCTCTTGAAGTCCATGAAAGGAACCGAGTTCGTCTTAGCTGTTTTCTCATGGTAGTTCTTAGAGAATTCTTGCTTCAAGAGAGGACAGTCTTTCATGAAGTGTCCAGTCTTTCCACACTTGTAACAAAGATCACAGTTTTTTGGTCTGTTAGAGCTATCCCTTTTTAGCATTTCTCCATTTCTCCATTTCTTCTAACCATCTTCTAAAATCTTTTGGTTAAGTAAGTCATGTCACTGTCTTCCTCACTTGAATCATTGTTATCAGCTTTAAGTACCAAGTTCTTTTCCTTCTTTGGCTCTCGTCTTTCACTATCTATCTTTCTCTTCAACTCATGGGTCTTCAAGTTTCCGATCAGCTCTTCTATGGTCAACTCCTATAAGTCCTTTGACTCAGTAATAGCATTCACTTTGCTTTCCCAAGAGATAGGCAGAAAGCTGAGGATTTTCCTAACTAGCTTGTTTTTGGGAATAGTTTCACCAAGTGAGTGTAAATCATTTATGATGGAAGTGAATCTTGTGTGCATCTTGAATAGATTCATCGTCTCTCATTTTGAAGAGTTCATACTTGGTAGTGAGCATATCAATCTTAGACTATTTTACGTGTGTAGTTCCCTCATGAGTTGTTTGCAAAGCTTCCCATATCTCATTGGCAGTGTCGTAGGTGGAGATTCTATTGTACTCTTCAGGTCCTATTCCATATACTAGAATTTTCTTGGCACAAAAATTCTTTTCCACAGCTTTCTTATCTGATTCAGTGTACTCTTTGCTGGTTTTTGCCATTGAAAATGGAAGTTCCTCTAGTACCTTGGTTGGAACATAAGGACCATCACATATGATATCCCATAACTCACAATCCTCGGCCATGATAAAATCGTGCATTCTTGTTTTCCACCACCCATAGTATTGTCCATTGAACTTGGGTGGTCGGTATGTAGATTGACCTTCTTCAAAATTTGGTGGAGCAGCCATGAGGATCCTTCCCAGGTGTTAGCCTGATATGAGGAACCCCTTCTAATACCAATTGTTAGTTTGTATGAGTCCACCAAACAGTAGAGTACCTGGTCCTCTACAAGATTCTGCTGAGAATGCTAATAAAACAGTATGTAAATAAGGCAGAGGATTTTTACGTGGAAAAATCCCACACAAGGGGATCAAAAAACCACAACCTACACCTGTAGGCTTTCAACTCCACTAACTTGTAAAAACCTATTACAAGCCACTTTGCAATGACTCCATTACAAAGAATTTACTCAACTAACTTGTGGTACTCTTACCACAAGCCACTTTGTGACTTCCTAGTTACAAAGATTTTTACTAACTTGTGATGTTCTCACCACAAGCCACTTTGTAACTCTACAGTTGCAAAGACTTTTGCTTATGACTAAACCTAGTCACAACATAAACTCAAGGAGTTTACGGATTTACAAGAGGATTCTTAATCAAACGCTTCTAGCTAAGCAGTTTAGGAGATAAAATAAGTACAATCACAAAGTTACAACTCAACTAGGAGAACAACAAGTTATCTTTTAGGAACTGGTCTGTTGTTGCATTCAACTTTGTTCTTCAAGCTTGTGAGGATTGATTTCTCTATTTTTGGCAAGAAGCGTGAATGAGAAACTGAAACCTTCAAGTGATATTTTTGTATAAACTCATTGTAGGTACATCTTGATCACATCACTTGAAATGATGTGAGCACTTTAGTTGGTCAGAGAATGAGTGGGCGCTGGAGACAGTGCAGTGCGGCAGAAACAGTGCAGTCAGTCACTTCATTTCCAGATGTAACCAACTAACTTGTACTGTGATGAGGGAACCACAAGGGTATCAGATCCTTGTTTGGGTTCATAGCTCCTGAAGTTGTAGCAGTTCACCTTTAGCTGGAATTCGTTAAACTTACAGTATAGTCCGAGTAGGTCAGGTTCCCTATCTAGTTCTTAACAGTAAGTTTGTTAGATCATCAAAACATAAGGCAAGAACATTTAAAACCTATCACACTTCCTCATGTAAATCCCCATGAAGGAAGGCATTATTGACGTCAAGTTGGAAGATACCCCAATGCTTCTTCACTGCAGTTGCTATAAGTGCTCTAATAGTTGTCATTTTTACAACAGGTGAGAAAGTCTCAGTGTAATCAACACCAACCTGTTGTGTATACCCCTTTACTACAAGCCTGGCCTTGAACCTCTCAATACTACCATCAGCTTTGTGTTTGACCTTATATACCCATCGACAACCTATAGGTTTCTTCCTTAGAAGTAAGGGAACTAGGTCCCAAGTGTGGTTGGCATGAAGAGCTTCAAACTCTAGTGACATAGCTGCTTGCCAAACAGGGTTCAAGGCTGCCTCTGCATAAGATCTTGGTTCACCATCATGGCAAACACTTTGAACAAGTTGCTGACTATCAGGGACCAATGAGGTGAATGAGACATGATGATGTTTGGAGAAAAGAGCATTGAGAGGAAAAGAAGAATCTGGATTGGATGTAGTAGCAGGAGGAGTTGGATTAGAAGGAGGATGAGCAGTAGGGTATAAGTTGGGTAAAGATTACACAGTCTTTTAGATGAACAGGTAAATGATGTTCCCTAGTAGATCTTCTAGGTTCATGATTTCCCTGAATGTGAGGTGGTGGAGGAATTACAGGAGATTCTGGAGAAGAGGGACAATTGGGAGGTGATACTGTTACAGATGAGGATACATTGGAGGTGTGAACTGAATCTGGTAGTGGTCTAGACACAGTCACAGTCACTTGGGTGTGTTGTAGGAGGTGACACATCTACTGTGCAAGGAGCAGAATTGAGTACTAATGGAAAAGAAGAGGATGAAATAGTTAGGATAGCAAAGGGGAAGATGTGCTCATGGAAGATTACATCTCTAGAAACATGAATTCTTTTGGTGGCCAAATTTAAAACCTTGTACCCTTTAGTTTCATAAGGATATCCCACAAAGGCATGGGGAGTCGTCCTAGGTTCAAATTTGTCTCTATGGACTTTAGGTATGGTAGGAAAACACAAGAATCCAAAGCTTTTCAAATGAGAATATGTTGGTGTTTTATTATAAAGGATCTCAATTGGGCATTTATTCTTTAGGTAAGTGGTGGGAAGTCTGTTTATAATGTGTGTTGCAGTCAATACACATTCACCCCAGTATTGTAAAGGCAACTTGGACTGAAAAAGGAGTGCCTTGGCAGTTTCCAAGAGGTACTTATGTTTCCTCTCTACAACTCCATTTTGTTGATGAGTATAGGGACATATTTTTTGATGAACTATTCCCTTAGACTGAAAGAATGACAAGGCTTCCATGTTGACAAATTCTGAACCATTATCAGATCTAAGGTACTTGACAGTGGAATTGAAGTGGGTTTCAACTAAGGATATGAAATTTTTGATGACTTGCAAGTCATTGCTCTTGCTACTCAAGAGGTGAGTCCAAGTGGCCCTGCTATGATCATCTACTAAGGTGAGAAAGTATTTATACTTATCATGAGTAGCAATGTGGTAGGGTCCCTAGAGGTCTGCATGAGGAAGTTCAAAAATGGAAATAATAGTGCTAGTCCTGTGGGGAAATACAAGTCTCGGTTGTCTAGCCATAGGACAAATGGAGCAGAGGAAATGTTGTTTAGTTGAAAACTGAACAGGGATAAAAGATATCCCCCTCATTTTGATAAAGGGCACATGGCCTAATCTATAATGCCATAACAAATCATCTTGATTCTTGTTAGACAAAAAAGAATTTGAAAGAATGCACTGAGTTTTATTACTGATGGAATTATTTACAAAAGATTGTGAATTATAAATGGGAACATTTACAGATGATGTAGAATGCTGACAGTGCAAACTATTTACATCAGAACAACTAGACAAAACAGAACAGGAAACAGGTAAAGAGGCATATGTAGCAGAGCATGAATTCTTCAGACAGCTTGAACATAGAAGGTACAAGCCATCTTTGACCTTACCAATCTCCAGAGGCCTCTTCATTGAAGGGGCCTGCAGAAGACAAAGAAAATCAGAGAAGGCAATCAAACCTTTAAGTTGAGAAGCTAAAGAGTGAATTGAAATAAGATTGTACTTGAAGGATGGAACATATAGGACTCTATGTAGAATAATGTTTGGTGCTAATGTGGCAGTTTCAATTTCTGTGACTTTAACTCTATAGTCGTTTGGCAGTGTGATTAACATAGGATATACTAGGGTTTTAATGTGAGTGAGTAAGGACTTATTGAAGGTCATATGGTTAGAAGCCCCAGAGTCTAGGATCCAAATGTCAGCCCTTGATTTAAAGCATTTACATGAAAGTAGGCCATAATTAATAGAAAGGACAGAAGCAGAACATGCAAAAATACCTGTGAAGTTCACAACTCCACCAGTCACATTGTTGTCTGAACTATCTCCTCCAGTGCTGGTCTGAAAGTGTTGGAGCAAAGTCACCAACTGCCCATACTGCTCCTTAGTGAGACTCACATTGGAATTGTTACCCTGAGTCTGTGTTTCTTCACCTTTCATAGAAAATGAATCGAGTGGAGTACTGTGTACATTAGCTGCAGTCCTTTTGCCTTTATTGTACTTGGGATTTTAATTGAAATCCTGCGGATAGCCATGGAGTTTGAAGCATTTCTCTCTAGTATGGCCAGCACGTTTGCAGTAATCACAGAAGGGGCGAGGTCTAGTACTCGTGGAGGGATTGTTTGGAGAGTAGTTGGTTCTGAAATTGTTATATACAGGTGTTCTGTTGTTGAAGCTGTTGTGTGAAGTTACATTAGCATTCAAAGAAGCAGAGTCGAGCATGAGTTGATTATGTGGCTTCACTTCTCGCTGTTTTTCTTCCTGAATTAACAAGGAGAAGGCCTGTGCCATGGAAGGCAGTGGATTCATCATGAGTATACTACCTCGCACTGTGGTATACACTTCGTTCAAACCCATGAGAAACTGAATGAGTCTTCTATCTTGTTCAGCCTTGTGCATATTCTCTTTAGCCCCACAAGTGCATTGACAACTACACTGTGACTTGGCATTTATCATGCTCAATTCTTCCCAAAGCTTCTTCATTTTTGTATAATATCCAGTAACATCAAGGGTTCCCTGAGCTAGATCATTAATTTCCTTTTGGATTTGATACAATTTGGTACTGTTAGTCTGGTCGTACCTATCTTCCAACTCTCTCCAAAATTCAAAAGCATTATTAGCATACTCAACACTATCAGCGATTTCCTTACACAGAGAATTCAGGATCCATGAGGTTACCATATCGTCACACCTTTCCCACTGACGAAATTGCGGAGAATCTAGGTCTGGTCGTTTGTACTCGCCAGTGATGAATCCTATTTTATTTTTGACTGAGAGGGCTCTAAGAACGCTTCTTCTCCAGGATCGGTATCCAACGCCATTGAACGGAGCTGTCACCAACATCGCACCAGGATTATCCGATGGATGCATGTAAAATGGGCAGCTAGGGTTGACTCCGGGATCAGTACCGGCGACATGAGTTGAATCAGTCAATTCAACTCCAGAATAATTGTTTGGATCAAGGATAGCCATGAGAAAACAATATCAATTTGTCTAAAAGAAAAGGATCGAGAAGAAGAGAATGTCGGATCGAGAAAAATTAGGGCAAAAGACGAAGATTGTGACTATGGTTCTAGAATCTAAAAAAAACTAAGAGAAATTGGAGAGAATGGCGAGTAGAATACCTCGCTCTGATACCATGTAAAGATGTAAAGCCATTAGAGGAGTAGAGCTCAAGCTTGAGCTACAATGGTGGAACCATGGAAGGTTCTCGAAGGAGAACAGGGAAAACAGAGGAGAAAGAAGAGTCGGTTATGTGTGAAAAATGAACTAACTTGTATTAGAAACTCAACTGAGTATATATATATATATATTACATGTGGGACCCAATACTAACCATCTAAAGCTGTGCTAATACACACCTAACTGACTATTAACATAATGATAAATACAATACACTATTTCAATACAAATAACAAAAAGCATCAATTTGGGCATCAAACACAATCCTCATTTATTTATAGTACTTACAAGATTGTCATCTGAAGTTCTACAAATGCCTAATAATGGTTTTGAACAATCACTCCGTACACGAATTATGATTATGATTAATATTGAGTTTATAAAACAAATAAATGACAAGTCGAAAATAAGATTGATCGAGAAGCCTATAAAAAATGAAGCAACAAAGATGGTAAAACATGCTATTCACATGAAATTGTTTAGACCTTCAACAATTAGAACCTAGCAGTCAAAGCAGCTCATGAAAAATCTTGTAACTCATGAAAAATCTTGTAACTCTCTGCAGCAGCAAAACACCCTACTTTATTTTCTGTTCTCACCTTGCCTTCATGTTATTACAACCTAAGAGAGGACAGGAACCGTACCACCAGCTGCCAAGATTTGTTGCTCCAACTGCGTTATCAAACAAGAAAGTATCAGATCAAATTCTAGAGCAAATTTTACAGACTTTCAGATGCTGAGATCCTTTTTTACTTTAGAAAATATTATTTATCTATATTGGTTAATGTCTTTGACTATCTAAGAAAGCCCAAGATAATGTGAAAGCTTAAGTTGATTTTAAACATTATTGGGCTTTAGGGAACTAAAAATGCTTTTACTGAAGCTAAATAGATCCTTTGACGCCAGAATCTAATATTCAACTGCTTAATCAAGGTGACAAGAAGAGCTAACATTACCAACCAGTTGGAAGCAAGAAGTTAGAAAGATGCCTCATTAGGAGAATCAAGGATTCAAAAAATAAAAGGAAAAGAAATGGTGAGGCTGATGTGTTATTTGGTTGCCAAATGCCGCGCCTTAAGTTAAATTTCTTATTTGCCTTTGAGTTACATTTCATACTTGTTTATCTAATTCCAGAGTGAAAGCACATGTTGAGTCAACTTAAACATGATGTTATTTCTGAAACCGACAAGTCGATGGTTAAACATAGGGGAAACCTAGCAATATAATCAGTGAGACACACCACACTTCTAGTATTATTATCACAATCCAGATAGTGTGTGTGTGTGTGTATATATATATATATATATATTTATTTTTTATTTTTATTTTTTTGGGTTTGAGAAGGAAAAAAGAACTCCAGATAGCTTTGCATTCTTAGTGGAGTACTTACCCTAAACAAAGTTTCAAGTTTATTCTTCACAAGAAAATATTCATGTTTCGCATGCTGCAGACATTGCATACACCTGCACCAAAAAAATGAAAAAGAAAGTAAAAGCATTAGTTATTACAGAAGTACAGAATTGTTAGCTACCATGGTCTGAAACAACAACAACAACAA